GTGTGGCCAGCTCAGCCCACCAGGGGGCGGGGCTGGCTGGCATGTGGTGCTGGGGATCGAACCGTGGTCCCTGTGCTGTGGTCCCTGTGCTTTGCCAAGCTTGTTTCAAGTAGGTGCTTTAGACCACTGAGCCATCTCTCCAGCCCCAGTAATATTGTAGAGAAAAAAAAACATAATCACAAATTTTTTGGTATCAGGCAGGAGGATTCCCAAGTTTGAACTCAGTGTGCACAATTTACTGTCTTAGCAAGACTCTACTTCAAAACACAAAATAAAATAAGAGCTGGGGATATAGCTCAGTACCAAGGACACAGATTCAAATCCAAGTACTATAAAGAACAAAGTGTAGGGGCCAAGGAGATGGCTCAGTAGAATAAGCGCTTCCCTGGCAAGCGCAAGGGCCTGAGTTCAATCCCTGGTTCCACCAAAAAAAAAAGAACAAAGTGTATCATTGATAGCTGTATAAAGTCTGTCTGCCTTCATTTTCTGACAATATGTATTCTGTCAATGAGCTAAATGTAGTTATCTCCTAAAATGTCCTGTGATTCCTGCCTTGAGCAGCCTTACAAGCCAAAGTCTTTGATGTTCTGCAAGGGCCACTTTCTGTGTTAAGTTATACATTTATTTTTCAGACTTACAACAATCTGCTTATATGCTTATCCTACTCTGGCTTCATTATGAGTTCCTTGAATCTTTCCATTATCAATAACTACCCCTAACATTGGTACACAGTAGGCTTTAAGAGTGATTCTGAACTGGGAGCACTTCTGCTTCCTAGGGAATGTGTGGCAATGTCTGGAGACTGTGATCACAACAGGGAAGCAGTTACTGGCATCAGTGTGGTGAGCGCAGGGAGCTGTCCAGCATTCTACAATGCACAGGACTACCCCCCACAATAAAGAATTATCCAAAGACTCAACAGTGCTGAATTACTGAAACAAACAGGAACTCATTACAAAAACATTACCACTTCAAAAGACACACATAAGTAAACAAACAAAAACTATAGGAGCCTAAACTGCATAGAGAAATCCTGTCTCAAAAAACAAGCAACAAAACAGGAAAAAAAGGGCCGGGGAGATGGCTCAGTGGAATAAGTGCTTCCCTGGCAACACAAGGGCCTGAGTTCAATCCCTGGCTCCGCAAAAAAAAAAAAAAAACTACTACAGGATTTTAGTTTTTTGTGCATTCATTGATCATGTAGATTAAACCCTGATTTTTTTTTTTTTTTTTTTTTTTTGGGTTTTTTTTTTTTTGGTGTTTTTTTTTTTTTTTTTTTTTTTTTTTTTTGAGACAGGGTCTTGCTACATAGTTTTCTTACGATAAAGCCAAAATAAAAAGAGGGAGATCTTCTTCAAATGGAAAGGGGAACAAAAGATTGAGGGAAGAAACAGGATTTTTAAAAAATGAAATATGGAAATAGAGCTTGTGCAAACGGGGAGCAGACATGCAACACAAGGAGCAGGGAACAAAAAAATGTGCTGTGTATGTATACCAATTCCCCATAATAAAAGTAGCCGCTGTGTGCTACTACAAAAAATAAAATGTCTACATTAAAAAATGGCTTGCCCGGCAAGGCGAGAGGCCCAGGTTCAATCCCCGGTTCCACAAAAAAAAAAAAAAAAAAAAAAAAAAAAATAACTTTTGAAGGCACATACATATACACATAAACATTTTTGTCCCAGTACTGCAGAAAAATCCCAAGGCCTTCCAAAGGAGTCTCATCCCCAGCATCCTCAGTCCTTTTAATTTTTTTGGTGCTAGGGACTGAGCCCAGGACCTTTCTCTATTTTTTGAAGCACGGTCGAAATCTCTAAATTGCCCAAATTGGGCAGAATTTGTGATCCTCCTTCCTTGACCTCCCAGAGGGCTGGGATTATAAGCATGTATTACCATACCTGATCAAAGGAGATTTTCTTGTTGTCTCTTTTTTTTCTGCGGAACCAGGGATTGAACTCAGGCCCTTGCACTTGCCAGGGAAGCGCGTATCCTCTGAGCCATCTCTTTAGCCCCTTCTTGTTTTCTTTTTTAAGTCAGGATTTCACTATGAAGCCTGAGCTGGGACTTGAACTCACAGCAATCCTCTTGCCTTAGGCCTCAGTCACCTGGGATTACAGGCATGTATCACCAAGCCCAGCACAAACACATACATTTGTATTTTATTTTTATGTATTTAGTACAGAGTCTCACACAGCAGCTCAGACTCTTAGTGATCCTCCTGTTTTCAGCCTCCCCAGCACTGGGACTACAGGGGTGCACCACCAGGCCCAGGTCTAACACATGCATTTTTAAAGGACTTCTTTTGGGTAGCAAAGTACCTTGCTTATGCTAGTAGGCAAGCACCCTGCTACTGAGCTATAGCCCCAACCCTACTGATGACATATAAAGTAAACTTAAAAGCAGGCACAGTAGTACATGTGTTTAATCCCAGAACTCTGGGAGACTGAGGTAGGTTTACAAATTGAAGCCCAGTGTAGGCAGCTTGTGACTTAGTAAGACTCTGCCTCAAGAAAAAAAAAAAAAAAATTAAGAAGGGACGAGGAGGGGCTGGTGAGATGGCTCAGTGGTCTAAAGCACCTACTTAGAACAAGCTTAGCAAGGCACAGGGACCATGGTTCAATCCCCCAGCACCACATGCCAGCCAGCCGCGCCCCCTGGTGGGCTGAGCTGCCCCCACACACACATAAATAAATAAGTAAATTAAAAATAAATAAATAAATAAATAAGGGATGAGGATAGGAATGGTGGTGCAAGCCTGTAGTCCTAGCACTTGGGAGGCTAAGGAAAGAGGATCACCATGTGTTCAAGGCCAGCCTGGGCTACATAGCAGGATCACCCCCCTAAAAAAAGAACAGCCCCCAAAACCCAATAAGGATGGGAATGAGATGTAGATCAGAAGCGAAGGCCTGGGTACAATTCTCAGTACTGCCTGCACACACACACACACACACGCTGACACACAGTAAACCAGATTTTGGTGAATCAGAGAATTAAACACTCAAAAAACAATCTGAGAACATAGCTCAATAGGAGAGTGCTTGCTCAGCATTGGCAGAAGGCACTGGGCTTGATCCCTAGCACTAGAAAAAAAAAAAAAAAATCAATAATCACTACATATTTCACGCTTTTTTTGCGGTACCGGGGATTGAACTCAGGACCCTGCACTTGCCAGGCAAGCGCTTATTTTACTGAGCTATCTCCCCAGGCCCAGCTATCTCCCTGGGCCCTAGAAACTTTAATATTATTATTTGTAATACAAAAGTAGTGCTTTTTTTTTTTTTTTTTTATCTGTTTCAGAAGAGATTTGGGGGTTTTTTTTTTGGAGACAGGTTCTCCCTATGTAGTACAGCTAGTCATGAACTCACTGTATAGCCCAGGCTGGTCTCAAATTCCTGGGAATCCTCCTGCCTCAGCCTCCTAAGTGCTGAGACTACAGGCATGTGCCATGGGACTTTGTCTTTTTGAGGCAGGGTTTCACTGTGCAGTCAGACTGTCCTCAAACTCACTCTGTAGGTCAAGCTGACCTCAAACTCTCGGCAATCTTTCTGCCTCAGCTTCCTGAATGCTGGGGTTATAGGTGCGTGGCACCACATCAGACACTGGAAAGGAAGTGAAACAGAACTAGGCTACTTCTTGGACATCCAGTATCAAATAGAATACTGCACAGCTCCAACATAAGAAACACAGATTTGCAACACTTTTTTGTGTCTTATACAGCTATACCAAGTGGAAATGGAAATAGTCATCTCATCAGAGGCTGCACAAGATAAACATGATGAACTAAAGAGTGTGTGTGAACATGAAAGTGAGCAAGAGGAGCAATGCTCAAGTCAGTGCTGGAGAGGGGTAAGGACCTGTAAAACCAACACGGCAGGGTATGCCTACATATCCTTCATTCTTAGGTATTCAGTTCAGTGTTCTGCTTTTTGGAACTTTTCCTGATCCACATATGACTGAATTTGCAGATATGGAGGAAAGATGCACCTCTATTAGGTAGGAAAATGTTAATGACCAATTAATTTTAAAGCTAGACTGGACATTTTCCAATATAGGAACTACAGCAGTCTGTGTATTTTTTTTTTTTTTCAACCACATATTCACTTCTCTATCTTCGAAGTATTAACCTGGTCTAAGTCAGGATCATCCTTTGCCTAGACTATTCCAGCAGCCTGGGGGGCTGCCCATTAGCTCAGTTGTTTAAGTGCCTGCTTAAGCAAAGCAGTCAGGCTCAGAATTCTGAGGTTCGATCCCCAGATTCTCAAACCTTACCAGATCTGTCTTAAGGCATCCTGAGTGGGGCAAAAAAAAAAAAAAAAAAATCATTCCAGCAGCCAGGCTTCCACTTTCCACCATATCCTTCTCTCCACACCTTCCCCATTCTTTCCAATCTTGGCTTACAATCCTTTTCTCAGGCTTTGCTTACCAACTTATCTCAATATTTCTTAATTATTCCCCAATCATATGGATATAGGAAAAAAAAATATGTAACTCCCAACCTGCTAGATGTCAGACATGCCAAGTTTGTGTTTTCCAAAGTCGACTTCATGCAACAAAAACAATGCACACTAGTTTCCATACTCTCAATAAGTGAGTAGATGAACAAGACCTGTGTCTGATTCAAATCTTAAAATACATACATCTGATACTAACAACTAGTAAACCAAGTAGGTGTGTTATTCATAGTACAACCTTGGGCTAACTTACTTTCTTACCTTTTTTTTTTTTTTTTTTGGCGGTACCAGGGATTGAACTCAGGACCTTGCGCTTGCCAGGCTTGGGCTAACTTTCATAAAGTCCTTTTTGTCATTTTCCTGGTTAGTGAGAAGAATAAAAAGTACTACCCAACGTGGCCACTGGACAAAACAAAACAGGCGTGGCTGGTCACAAAGCCAAGAGTAACTAAGTAGTGACATATTGCTCCAGTGTAGTGTATTATATTTGGCTGGGCACGGTCGCGCATGCCTATAACCCACTTAAGAGGCAGAGGCAGAAGGATCACCATGAGTTCGAGGCCAGCCTGGGCTACATTGTGAGTTTAACGCCTGCCTTAACTCCATAGTGAGACCTTGCCTAAAAATAAATACGTAAATAAATAAACAAAGAGATAGATAGGTAGAAAGACAGATATAAAGGTGGGGCACAAGCTCAGTCCAAGCCTACTCTAGGACACGGGTCTTCTCCCGTGGACAAAACGGTGTCCTGACGGGGCACTGCCCTGCTTTTCCCTGCAGAAGGTCGCTCTTAAGCTTGCGTTGGGACAGGCACTCCCGAGGGAGGTCCTCCTCGTTCTTTCTGCTCCATCGGACGAGACCAAAACTAACAGCCTTCACTTATCCGTTCCCAGAAGTTCCCAAGGCAGCTGGGCGGGAGGTAGTGACCAGTCAAGGACAAGAGGAGAATGAGTTGCCTCAGCCCAAGGGCACATTCAGGTCAGAAAATAAACCCCGGATTAAGGCACTATAGCCTTCCCACCTAAACGCAACCTCACCTTCTCCCCGGAGCAGCCGAGGGTGCTCTGTTGGCGTATTCAGACCCCACCGACCCTTCAGCGACCCGGTAGCCTACTCAATATGGCGGCCCCGGGTAATTCCGTCAGCCGGGCATGCAGAACGGAAAGCCAGGAGGGACCAGAATCTACAGATTTGACAATTTCCGGATTAGACTGATACCGGCAACTTCCGTCTGTCTGACTGGTGGTGGGGAGGAGGAGGAGGAGGAGAGAGGACGATTTGGATCTGCAGTTCCGCCGGAATTCGCCGGAGCCTCCACACCGGCCACCTTCGGTCATCTCTGGCATTTGAAAGGGCGGTTCTGAGTTCTCGTGAGCCGTAGAGATATGATTTTGAGAAATGCCCGTTTTATTAATTTGTTTCCCAAAACACCGAAAGGTCCGCGGACAATGGGTGGGCCATTTAATGCGGGCCTCGCAGTGTTTACCGGGGGAATGAGAATAGAGGCGTACTGTGACCTTTAACCTCCCGCCGGGTGCCGCGGAGGGAAACGCCTCCCTCGCTATATAAGGCGTTTTCCGGCCTGCTGCGGCCCTTTTTTTCTCTCAGCTCTGGGCGCCGGCGTTCTGCGCTGTTCACTCCACCACTGCCCAGCTCCCGCGGACAGCTGAGGCCATGGGTTTCGGAGACCTGAGGAGCCCCGCCGGCCTGCAGGTGCTCAACGATTACCTGGCCGACAAGAGCTACATCGAGGGGTGAGCGGAGGGGCGGCGGCCGCGTCCGGGTTGGGCCACGTGGCGGGCGAGGGAGGCCGGGCTTGGAGGAACTGTTCGCGGAGAAGTTAGAAGGTGCTTTCTTCTTCTTCGGCTCTTCCCAGTAAGTTCCCAGCATCCTGGCCCCCTGTTGAGCCGCGGGTGTCGCTGCCCCGTAGGTCTCCGTCTCGGGATCTCCGGAGTGGCAGGCGTTTTTAGGGTAGTGGAGTGACCCTAAGGGATGGCCTCGACCCTAAGCAGCTCACTGCTTTTGGGAGAAGTTTATAAAGGTGTATGGTAGAGCGGCAGTACATGCATGGGTTTGGTTTCTGCGAATTACTTTGCAGATAGTGTTAGCCACTTAGCTATATCATAAGGCGAACTTCTTTTATCTTTGGCAGGTTTGTGCCTTCACAGGCAGATGTGGCCGTGTTTGAAGCAGTTTCCTGCCCCCCGCCTGCCGACTTGTGCCATGTGCTACGTTGGTACAATCACATCAAGTCTTACGAAAAGGAAAAGGCCAGGTAAAGGGATCTTGTATGAGCTTGAAGAATAAAACTTTTCTGAATTTCAAACTTTTCACCTGACGAAATTAGACCCCAGGCTACTCTAGCTTTGTTGGTGTGTCTTGTAAGCTGATTTCTTTCTGACCTTAAAAGGCCAAGGGTCTGAAGTCCTTCTTTTTTTCACAGAGCAGGTAGAACATGGACAACAGCAGTTGAGCTTTTCCCCAAAGTGCCCTGCTTGGACAGTGATGGGGGATGGGGGGGCAGCACTGGGATGGAATTTGGGGGCCGTGGACTCCTACACTTTATGGGTGGAATTGAACATATTTACTGGGAGCATGTTGAACCATAAATTACTACAAAGGGATGTAATTATTAAAGGAATAAAAGCATGTTCTTATGAATACTCTTCTAGAAAAAGACACTATATCGAATTAAGAGTAATTAAATGTAAATTTTCTTTCAAGCCTGCCAGGAGTGAAGAAAGCTTTAGGCAAGTACGGCCCTGCCAATGTGGAAGACAGCACCGGAGGTGGAGCTGCGGACAGTAAAGACGATGATGATATTGATCTCTTCGGTTCTGACGATGAAGAGGTATGCCATCTTTTTAGTAGATTGGTGGGCAGTGTCTGCATAAGCGCTGACAGCAGAGCCAGTTTTCCTCGGTTTGAATCTTGGCTTCACTTTATTACCTGCCTTTACAGAATTCTCACTGGTTACATGATGAATAAAATCAAATCACCATCTTTCGGCTGAGCTCCTGATGGATTTGTTTTTTTCTGACGAAGCTAGTGTTTGTGATAATTTCACCACCAGCTTCAACCTGAGGAACAGCTTCATGGAATACTACAATTTTTCTTTACAGGAAAGTGAAGAAGCAAAGAGGCTAAGGGAAGAACGGCTTGCACAGTATGAATCCAAGAAAGCCAAAAGTAGGTCATTTATAGATGGTGTTTATCTTCATTCCATGATAACATGAGGAGCCTTTCATGAAGCTTGACCGCAAAGCAATTTCTTCCCTCTGTTCAATGGGTTAGTGTTTGGAGACTTTGCCTAGCAGTTCTTAAAACTTCCACAGCTACTGGTCTGCAGCTGTTGTTAATTGTAGCAGCTGTGGCATTCCACTGTGGGAAAGAAAGTGTTACACAATTAAATACCTCTTTCTTAGTCAAAAAGAAAGTAGGCATGTGTGTGACAGACACAAAATGTATTCTGTGCATTTATTTAAGTGAGGAAATGGTGCATTTCGTGTAACTCATATTTGTCTGTGGTACTGGGAATTGGATCCAAGGCCTTTGCACTTCACTCCACCACCCTCAGCCGATTTTCACTTTTTATTTTCAGACCACTTTGGAATCCTCCTGCCTTAGTCTACCAGAGTGCTAGGATTTACGCACATAAGCCATCCCAACCTGCTGAGATTTGGACTTGGGAGGAAAATACATAACTGAACTTAAATAGTGCTGTTTCTTATTTTCTAGAACCTGCACTTGTTGCCAAGTCTTCCATCTTGTTAGATGTGAAACCTTGGGATGACGAAACAGATATGGTGAAATTAGAGGAGTGCGTCCGAAGCATTCAAGCAGATGGCTTGGTCTGGGGCTCCTGTGAGTTTTTGCATTTTCAAATTGGCACCTGAAATTTAAATACATGTAAATTTTTTCCCATCTAACAGTTTTGTTTTTTTTTTAAAGCTAAACTAGTTCCAGTGGGATATGGAATTAAAAAGCTGCAAATACAGTGTGTGGTTGAAGATGATAAAGTTGGAACAGATATGCTGGAAGAGCAGATCACTGCTTTTGAGGACTATGTGCAGTCCATGGATGTGGCCGCTTTTAACAAGATCTAAAATTCATCCCGGATCATTGCACTTCAATAAAAACTTGAAGGACAGTCTTTGGCTCTTGAATCTGTTAAATAAGGGGTGAATTGTGATGCAGCCCATACTCATTAATTAGGTCCTCAGCAATTATGATGCTGGTGATAGATTTGTTGTGACCCAGTGTCTTTGGATTGGAATTTGTTGATAAGAAAAATTAACAGATCTCACTTGATAATTGATAATAAGTATGAGAAGATACAGGGTATGCAACAGTGCCAGAGCACATCCAGCCCAGGAGGAAAGAGCCAAAATTTGTCATAGGTTATAATCACTTGTATATACATTACAAATCTGTGATGGCATAATGCTGCAAAGTTGGGAAAAAAAAGTTGGGATCTGAATCACTGGGAATATTGTGACGTTAGCATGTCATGTCCCAAGATGAACACTGCTGATTTCCAGGTGGCTTTGCTTTTGTAAAGGTTCATGAGGTACATGGTGGGCTGTTGGATTTGGGCATTAATTCAACCAGTAATCCAGATAGACAACAGTTAAAACGGTAAACTGAGTCCAGTTTACTGGTACCTGCCTTACCCTCTTCCCTGGAAATGGGACCCAGCACCTTGGCACTAACCATGTGTTTGAGGTACTGATGGGCAGGCTCACCTTACGTTCCCCAGGATGCTGGAATTTGCAGTCCTGCTTCAGCCTCCCAGAGTGTTAGGGTTATATGTGTTTGCTACTATGCCAGCTTGTTTCCCAGGACTGGGATTGACCTGGGATGTTACAAGGTCTACACCCTTCATTTTTTTTTTTTTTTTTGTTAATTTTTTTAGGGAAGGGTCTACAGAGTGTTGAGGGTCTCAGTACTAGATCAGACGCCTAGTGATCTGCCTGTTTACAACCTCCCCCACGAGCTGGAATTACAGGTGTGCCCAGTGTCAATTGCCATCTCAGCACACCCTGGGAGGCAGATAGGCCAGGGGATTGAACCCCCAGCCACTGCGCCTGCTTTCCTGCTTGCAGGTCCTCTAATCTTCTGAGGTATTTGGCCCTCTTTTTTTTTTTTTTTTTTTTCTTCTGTGAAACCGTGGATTGAACTCCAGCCCTTGCACTTGACAGGGAAGCTTTATTTGTGTAGGTGAGAGCCAAAGAAATCAGACGATTTGTTTTCGATCTTTATTTTGTTACACTGGGAATTGAACCTAGATAGCACAGACCATCCCCAAAGCCTGTTTTTGGTGTTTTGAGACTAGGTCTCACTATGTAGTCCAGGCTAACCTTGGAGTCATGGCTATCATCTTGCCCCAGCCTCCTCAGTGCTGGGATCACCTTACCCAGCCTCTCATTCTTTTTCAAATTTTGAGGTAAGTTTTCCAAAACTGGTCAGGATGACCTTGTACTGCTGATTCTGCCCATCTCGACCAGATTCTAAATTAAATTCTGGGATTATACACATGCCATCAAACCCAATTTAGGTCAGTTTTTCATACCAGGTAGTGCTCTTCACTATCAGTCTGATTTTATGTTGTACTACCTGGAACTTGGGGGGCTAATGAAGAGAAGCGGGTGGAGATAAGTATTACACTTATTAAGCAGCATGCAGCCCAGCAGATGCAGCCTAAAATGGAGAAATCTTCAGGTTGTTAAGCATCATTGGTGCCAGCAGAGGGCAGCACTTCATTTCCTCAAAGACATGGGGACCCTGCAAAGATGAAGCACCATTTGGTAAAAAAAAAAATTCTTAATCTAAGCGTACACATTGATTTCATACTGGTGTCCTTACAAATATAAGAGCAAAAACCTGTTATCTGTGTTCTTTGGAATAATTATGGAGATTGGGGTAGCACTTCCACCATCCATATGACAGTGTTAGGTGTGTGTGTTTGCATGCACGCTTGCATGTATGTGTATCAGTCTCACTGTGTAGTCTGTGCCAGCCTTGAACTCACCATGTAGCCCATGCTGGCCTCCAACTTGCAATCCTGCTTCAGCCTCCAGAGTGCTGGAATTACAGGTGTGTGCCAGCATGCTCAGAAAGAACAGGGAAATTTTTTTCTTCATTTTATTGGTACATTTTACATATACATAATGATCACATTCATCATAGAGAATTTGTGGCTGTACACGACTTGACTCCCTTTTTCTCCTCATTCTCCTACCCTCCCTTCAAGCCCTCCTCCCCTCCCCATTTACAAAAGCTTTGTTTCTGTTTTTCATTTCTTTTTATTTTCTCTGTCCTTTCCCCTCCCTTGTTCCCTTCCCGATATGAACGTTTTCTTCCTATGTCACAGTACCTATTTTGGTCCTTATTTACACTTTTGGTTTCTCACAGTAGAGAAGCAGTTTGGTAAGAACTGGGAATTTCTGTATGGGAGCTCTGAGCAATGCAGTTGCCGTGAACTCTGAGAAGTCACCAAGGCGGTGTGGGCAGGAAGGGAGATGGCATCTCTCAGCCAGCCAAACCTATTTCCTCACCGCAGTCCATGGTAGCAAAGTAGACCACAGACTCCCTTCTGTGCCTTGTTGGAGCTGCCCTTTTTTTGGTCTTTTTGAGACAGGGTCTGGCCTTGAGCTCACTATGTATTTTTTTTTATGTTTTTGTTTTATTTTCTTTTTGGTGGAACCAGGGATTGAACTCAGGCCCATTGTGCTTGCCAGGCAAGTGCTAATTCTACTGAGCCATCTCCCTGGCCCCCACTATGTGTTTTAGACTGGCCTCACAACCAAGGTGATCTTTCTGCCTCAGCCTTCTAGGTGCTGGAAGTTCAGGTGTGCACCACAACACCTTTGTTTAAATTTCTGAATTGTGAGATAGGAAACAGTATATTATTATTTTAAATAACTTTAAATTTTAGGGCAGTTTATTAAGCATCAATAGTTAATAAACAGTTATGGAGGTTTTTTTTTTTCTTTCTTTCTTTCTTCTTACCTTTTTTTGATAGTGGGAATTGAACTCAGGACCTCATGCTTGCCAGGCCGGTGCTGTGCCAGTGAGCTACATCCCCAGCCATAACAGTTTTTAGACTAACCAACTAATTCATAAATGTATATATACTGACTACATAAAGAAATTAAGTATACCATTTTTTTTTTTGAGACAGGGTCTTATTATATAGTTCAGCCTGGCCTTGAACTCAGCAATCCTCCTACTTCAGACATGTATTTTAACAGGATGAGTATGGCGCGGTGGCACATGCCTGTGGTTCCACTACTCAGGAGGCTGTGGCAGAAGGATTGCCCAAGAGTTCAAGGCCAACCTGGGCTAGAGTGAGCTCCAGGTCAGCTTGAATTACATAGTGAGACCCTCTCTCAAAAAGAAACAAAACAGTATATCTAATGGTTTGTATGTCCAAAGTTACCATGAGCTTAACAACTTTTTTTTTCCTTTGGTGCTAGGGATTCAAACCACAGGGTCTCACACATTAGACAAGTACTTAACCCCTGAGCTACATCCCCAGCCCCTATTAATTTTGAGATAGGTTCTCCCTAAGCTGTTCAGACTGGCCTAGAATTTCTGTTCTTCCTTAAGCCTCCCAGATATCCAGGATTAAAAAACTGCATCTCCACATTTGGCACATGAGTCACATATTTAAGATTGAGGGCTTAATGGACCATGGAGATGGATGGCTCAGTGGAATAAGCGCTTCCCTGGCAAGCGCAAGAGCCTGAGTTCAATCCCTGGTTCTGAAAAAAAAATTACTCTTTTTAAAACACAGACTATTTCAACAGAGGTGCTAATCCACTGTGGAACAATTAGCAAGAATGACAGATTATTTATGTTAAAGGAGAAAAAATGTGCATATCCTGCCAAAGTTTTATATTTACACAAAATATGAGGCCAATAAACTAATCAAAAATTAACAAACAAAGTCA